GTCGCTCGCCGTGGCATCTGCTCTGGGCTGCTGGCATAAACGCCCGCGGCTTCCTCTCTGTGCGCGTCTGCTGCTCCCAAGTGAGGCGCTGGGGGGAGCGGGGAGGCGTCGGGAGGCAGAGGTAGCCTGGACCGGAGTGAACGAGGGAGGCGGCTTGGAGAACTCTTTGGGGCTCTGATGTTGCCTTGAGTCCTTAGGCTTAAGTACCTTTGGGGGCAGTTTGTGGTCAAAAGGCCTCAGTGGAGGCAGCTGCCCTGAGAACATGAATTTGGATGCCCTTAACTACCAGTGGAATGGGAAGGGAAAAAAGAACAGGCATGTTATAAAAGAGCAGTCTATCTGCTTGGAAGAAATGATGTCCAGTCCTGTGAGAAGCTTATCTGGGCACTTCAGCTTGGACCTGAAAGTTCTTCTTCTCCAGAGCGTCACCCTTGTCACTTAAACTCTCCCTGTGCTCATTGAAATCAGGGATAGAGCACTTTGCACTCCAAGAGTTTTTTTTTTTTTACTGTAGATGTAAAATTGTTCTCTGACTTTCAGTTCTGCCTGACATTGCCCACCTCTGATCAGTGCTGGAGAGTTATTTGTTTGTTGTAAAATGCATGTTTATGCACACACAGATCCTGTGCTAGGTGTGAAAGTTCACACCTAAGTGTCTGACAAAGGTGGTTTTCCTGCACTCATCTTCTTCCCCTTCTTCTCCCAGTGCCATCCAAATGCAGATAGCTTGCTGTTGAAAGGAGATTCATTTAAATAAAAGTTAGGCCTGAGGTTACAGCCTACAGTGCGTCTTAAAGAGAGAGAAAAAAACACTTGGAGCAAAGTGTTGTGAAAACCCAGATAATTATTAACAGTGGAGTATGAAAGTGTTCCAATAGCAGGATTTGAGGACTAGGAAAATCTTCCTGTTGCCTGCATAAAGTAGGTAGGAATATGTTACATTGTCAAAATATATTGGTTAATAATGCCTTATTTACTACTGGCTTTTAGGCAGTCCAGCAAAACTACTGACTTAAATGGAACATAGTCCAGGAAGAAAACTTTTGTTGCAGCAATAAAGCAGATATATTATTTCAGGGTCTTACAGGTTGTGTCCCTGACAAGTTGACAAATGGTTCCTTTTATAGTACAATGTGTACTAAAGTTGGAAATTGCTACAGGTGTAAAATCATGTATTGCCAAGATTTATCTCCAATAGCTTTCTCCAGAAAAAAACCAACAAAAAACAAAAATAGTGAACCAACAAAATTTATATTTTCCTTATTTTCTAAATACTTCTAGTCAGCTATCACTATTACATCTCCATGGAAAGATGCAATAGGAGTTTAAAAACTGCTAATACTGTAGCGGTGGGGTTAACTCATCCATCTCAGAAGCTACTTTTATGCACTATAACTGGCTTTCTGCGGGAGAGGTAAACATACCAGGTTTCAAGGTATTTCTCTCATGTGATAGGAGACAGCCATTTTCTCAATTTCCATCTTGTGTTGCAAAGTTGCCTCACATTATAGGTGCACATAAGTGCCTATGACTGAGTGTTGGCTAGTGCATGATGTGTGTTTAATTTTTTTTCAGAGTTTACAATGATAACTATTCCAATTATTGTATGTTTTAACATTCATCAGAGAGAAGTGCACCATTGATTGAGACTTAGGAAAACATAAGGTCTTGAAATGCATCTGATATTTCTCACTCAATATGTGGAATATTTTTGGATCATCAAATGAGTGGCAGTAATAAATGTTGCATTAGTCTAATTTAAATTCATAGGGAGGTACTGATTAAAAGAAACTGAGAGGAAATATAGAGAAATCTGGAGAAGGTGGAGGAAATAGGGCAGAGGAGTGATGCTGGAATACTGTAGGATCATTCATCTGGTTAAAGGGAGGAGTGGGGTGGCATCACACCAATAGTATTATGCCAGTGGTAGAGGAGTGGAGGTACCAGAGTCCCAAGGGAAGGGAAGGAGGCATTAGAAGTAGTGGAGAAGAAAAGAGGAAGCAAGTGTTTGAAGAAAGCAGGACTAGAAGCAGCAGAGGGCAAGAAAAAACATGGGTCAACGCCAGCAGGAAATAGGAAGTGTGCAATAAAGGTTGTGTATAGCCACAACTTCCACAATCCACCAATCAAGTTGGGGAAACACTCCATGACAATTGCCATAATTTGTTGGAAGTAGATTCTGTTGAATTCCGTGACAAGTACTCTGACATGTGAACAAGAGCTAGTTACAGGGATCACATAAACCACCTGTTACAGCAACACCATTGGCTGTCGATCTGTTTCCAGGCTGAATTCAAGGTGTTAAACACCTTGAATACCTATAAATCCCTAAATGGCTTTGGCCTAAGTTGTCTCAAAGACTGCATCTCCCTTTATGAGCCAACTCGACTGTTAAGATCTTCGGAGGGCTTTTCTCTGAGTCCTGCCACCTTCATAGGTGTACAGTGGTGCCTCGCTTAATGATTTTAATTGGTTCCAAAAAAAAACATCGCTATGTGAAAACATCGTTAAGCGAAACACCATTTCCCATAGAGATGCATTGAAAACCGGATAATCCGTTCCAATTGGAACGGATTACCATCCTTAAGCGAAAATCCCCATAGGAAAAAACGTTAAGCGAAACCCATTGAAATGCATTGAAGCCTATTTCAGTGGGGGGAAAAAAATTCACAAAAAAGTCAAAAAGACTCAGAACAAAGCCAAATTAAGTTAACGAAGGTTTTATTAGGTGCACTACCGATTCCTAGCATTTTAAACATTTTTAAACATTTTAGAATATTTTTAAAATAGCAAAAATGGGGCTGTAAAAAAAAACGTTAAGCGAAACAAGGGGACCTAAAACTGTCAATGTTAAGTGAAGCATGGTCCCAAAATCGTTAAGCGAACATTGCCCATAGGGAAAATCGTTAAGTGAAGCACAAGATTGCTCTGAAAAAGCCATCGATAAGTGAATTTTTTGTTGTACGAAGCAATCGTTAAGCGAGGCACCACTATTTGTTTGAGGACCTTCTCTATTGCTGCTCATACACTTTGGAACTCCCTCCCACAGCAGGCTTTGCTGTCCTTCCAAAAGCAGGCAAAGGCTTTTCTCTTCAGGGAACTTCCCTGACTAGTTGCCTGATAATGGATTTTTATACTTTACATGTGACTTCGTGTCGCTTGTGTGTTTTTGTTTTGTTTTGTTTTGTTTGTTATTTGTTTGATCCTTTTTAGTATTTATATGTTCACTGTTGTTAACTGTTGTCTTTTAATGTCTTTTAATGATGTAAGCTGCCTTAGGTCCTTTTAAGGAGAAAGGTGGGGTAAGATGTTTTAAATGAACCATAAATAAATATAAATTAAAATGCATCTGGTATTTCTTATTCACTATATGGGATATTTTTGCATTAGCAAATCAAAAGCAGTAGTAAATATTGCACTAATCTGAACCTAAATTCATAAGGAGCTACTGACTGACCATGCAGCCTTAGCTTGTCTTTGCAGGGCATTTGGATGTGAGCCTGATCCAGTGCTTTGTAGTGATATTCTTAGGCTACAGTCTTAAGCACACCTACCTGGTGGTAAGCCATGTTGAATTCAGTGAGGCTTCTTTGAGTAAACGTATAAGAATGCATTGTCAGTAAGTTGTGTATAAAGATGGTTTGTTTGCTTTGTGAAATATCTTAGTAATAAAAAGAAGCTAGTGGGAATTGAATTCTGTAATGTGTTTGTGTATGTTCAGGACCAACTTTTTTGCATAAATAGGTACCTTCAGCTGTTTCCTTAAAGTCTTGGCAGTTGAATTTGTAAATCTCTCAGCTACAATGGACAGAATCTTCTTCCCATTCATTGGTGAGGAGGAATGCATATACATATGTGAATATATACAAATATAGATATAACTCAAAATGACCCTTTCTTTTTGCTTAGAAACACAGCTTTATCAAGAGGTCAGTTACAAGACTGTTTCTGACATATACATCAGTGCCAATTACTTGGAATGAAATCATTGGTTTCTGTGGGATTTCCAACTAAATTTGTTCAGAATTGAGCAATCACCTTCTAAATATGTGTAGTACTTGAGACTAAAATTAATTTGAAATCTTCCCCAGGGCATTTTAAAAAAATCATTACCATGAAACAAGAAGGAAGTAATCTATAGCAAGTTGTAGTGATAAATCTACAGTATATTCAGATATATTTATATTACATAGCCCTTACAATCATGTCTTTTAAATTCACATCTAAGATGTACAATGAGGGTATAACTCTCAGAGTAGCTCAGTCACCTGTCATGTTTTTTTGTTTGCTTGTTTAAAGGCAACTTGTTGGTGAATGGGATCTGGTAGTGTTGGCCACATGAATGTTAATGACTTGCGTTCAGCTATCCACAGGGTGCAGTATTGATACAGGGAATGAAATCACGGTCAAATGATATGGGATATTCCTAGAGGAAGGATAAACACTGGGAGAACCTCATTTTGTTTCTTTGAAAGGCTTAATTTATAGATTATCTGCTGTGCCCCAGGCAGTAAAATATCTTGGCTTGGTCCTGCTTGAGCTTTTATTAGAATTATGAAACCCTGCAAATAAAAGCCACTAACATTAATATTTCATGTCACATAGAAATCTTCCTTTTTCTTTCTTTAACAGTGGTAGCTAAACAAACAAACAAACAAAATTTTCCAGATTTCCTTTCGTCGTCACCTGGATGCAATTATTCACATAAATATGATGAAGAATAAAATGACTGTTTGT